TCTCACGAAGCTAGTCACTAGTGTGCACATGGTAATAATCAGTTTAGGGGTTGTCGAGATTGTTTAGTTTTTTTTGTAAATTATTATATAATCTCAATGTTTTATCTTCTGACTATAAGTATAAACATCCCTAGATAACTTCGTATATTATTTTCTGTGTACAATTAAATTAATTTCCACTCAACCGATTAAAGAAATAAACACGAATTACATTGTTATTGGTTTGTTTAGCTAACGTTTAGCAGTCGACCAGTTAAGGGAATGTAATACTAAGTGTTTGAATGAACATATGAGTCACTAGTTATACACTGACTACATTCATAAACCAATAAAAAGAATAATTAATGGACAAGAATACATCACACAATCATTAGAATACACATAGCGCTTATTAAATGTCTGGCTATAGTGGAGCCAATATTCATGAAAGTACAATGAAATATTTATTTGACATACTTTTTGTCTGTCCTAGAAACATACACTCTATGTGTGTGCATGATTGAAGGGGTTTGCTACAGTCTACGCACTAACTCATTCATTAAGCTAACTTTTGTCATGGTAAAATTACAATATTCGGTTAACTGTAATTCACATTACATTTTGTGATCTCTAGATCGTTGAACAATTCTCATCCTATTGAAGCACAGACAGATATGTGAACGAAGAACATTCTATCTTGTTTAAAATCATAACATTAGAATTTCGGATTATTTTTAAAATAGAATAAAATTGTTGATCTTAGCATGATTAGTTTCAATAGTGTAATAAGAAGACGAAGATTATCAGAACTACATTATAGGGGATTTATCAAAGGGACTCATTGCTTTGAATAAGTTTACACATAAAATGAAATTATGAAATTAATGATCAGGATAAATAATAAACTGAATGAGATAAGAAAGGTTATAGTGTAGTAGAAATGAAATATTTAGTCAAGAATGACTTAGAGTAATATGAAATAGATAAGAATTCGAATACAGGGATATGAGCTAAATAAATTTCTCAAAACCCTGGCAAACATAATAATAAAAATTAAATCACCTTGAATGAGATAATCTTAAGCCAGGGAAAATAGGAAGAAAGGTTGTACGTATATTCATAGAATCATGTCATCATATCATCAAAATAACTGTTAACTGATTGAGCTCGAAGTTGGTCATGATAAAAGAAGCCGTTGAACAAATTTTGTATGGACTCAAATCTTCGGCGTTTCTTCAAATAGATATTGATCCAGGTGTTCGAAAGATTCCTAGTCTAACGGATTTAAGCAGATATCTATTTGCACGACATTATTCCGTAAATGATTGTTCCATGTTATCTATGTGACTCGTCTGCACAAGATGAGCTAGGTGCCTGCGAGCACCAAAATACATATTCCTGCCAATATAATTTGCTCCACAATAGCAGTTGAATCGATAGATACAAAAAGAGATGGTTAGTCTAGGTAAGTTATCTTTCATTGCACATTATTCATCTCAACATTAACAATTTCATTCTATTTTACAAACAATCCTAAGTTCACATTAAATAATCTTAAACGATGCATTTGCTTTAACCTGGTCAATTTTTGGATTATTAATGGGGATATGTAATTGTAGAACCTGATTAGAATTTACTCAATAAAGGAATTCCTCCTACATATATCTGTGTTCTCTAAAGTTTCAAAATGCCTGCCAGCTTAATGATATAAATAATTTTATGTACAATGCGTCGAGCCATGTAGTTCACCAATCAACTTCAATCAGAAATTGAACTAAAGAACTTACTTCAAGATGTTTTTGAAGTTTTAGCAGAAGTCATGACTGGTGGAGCTCAGATATATAATGATTTTATCCTTTCTTCTTACATAATTTTGTAAGTAGTTGAGTAATAGACAAGATGAAATCCACTATTTTCTTTTCTATGCATAACATTGACAAATTCAATTTTAGCTTATATATACGTACTTTATATGGTCAATCGTAGTACAAAAGTTAAATATTTTAATTATAACGCCCATGGAGACACTGTGAATGATGTCCTCATTGGTCAGGGCATTTGACTTTCAGTCAATACCTTGTATATTCAAACTTTCTTTTACTTACAATAGTTTGGATAATCGGTCAGTGTCACTAGCTCTCACAATCAAAATATGATTAGAAATAAAGTACAAAAATCCATACATGATGAGTGACTTGAGATTACAGGAACGAAAACATTTATTTATTTATTTAAATATTCTATTTTGAATAATTCATAAAAACGTTTTTCAATAAGAGACTTGATTCAATATATGATCTAGTTTTTTTCTTGAGGTTTTGAATCTTCATCGACTGAGATGGTTGAGCCACGTGTTACGTATGCCCGAACACCGATTACCATTACGTGCAATGCTAACCGGTTTTGGGGATGGTTGGAAGAAAGTTAGGGGCGGACAAACCAAATCGTGGCATCAGTGCTTGAGGTCACTAACTTCTAGTCTGAGCCATGTTGGTAGATGCAGACTACTTGGTTGGTGACATGACTCAGAATCGATCACAATGGAGTCGGTGTATACACTCTCTGTCTTCTCTTAAACTAGCAGATTAAAATCGCTTCATATCTTTCTTTCTATGAATTAATTCTTTCTTCCTGTACTATATCCTTATACACAATCTTTCTTTTATATATTACCACCTCTGAATTAACTACATTTATGAATCCGTTGTCCATCTTGTTGTGTTAATGAGGTATGGCAACTTGGACCGATGTATATATGTGTCTGGTCCTACGTTGCAGCTGACTGACTGACTCATATAAAAACATTTTAACACCGAATTATCATTCATTAATAACTCAATCTTACACTCATGGACAATTCGTTTTCAGTCATTTATTTTCAACTCGTGAACTTTTCACATGATTCGTATTTAATTGACTAAAATCAACATGCAAATATATTTGGATTAACCAAAGTATAGATTCGATTTGATCTGATTGTTAAAACGCTATATATTTCTTTGATGATTTTGATTTTGATTATTTTAATTTGAAGAAGTCCAGACAAGTTAGCTGGATGCGAAACGTTGAAATTGTTATTTTTGAATTTCAATCACTGAGATTATTTCAAATAGAATTTTCACACACATATAATGACTTCTTTCTGTACTCGGCGCCCAATTTCTGTCATACTATTCATTCTCATCTTGACGATTATTCGTATAAATGATCTAGTTTTATTTTTTGTTTTTGTTTAAAAGTTCAGATCTTATTATTGTTGTACTATTGATAATTCAATAGTATTACATTTCCTGAACACTATTTGACTAGTTGATAGGGACGTTTCATTTTGATACTAATCAATGTTTTTCTCAACACTTATAAACATTGAATATTGTATAATGATAATTATAATAAAGAAAACAAAACAAAAAAAATTTAATTGGACTATGTCCGTTAAAGTGTTTAATAAAAAGAAAAAAAGAAAAGAGAAAAAACTGGATAATTCAAAATAAAAACTTAATTTGTTTATATTCTGTGTGTTGCATTCTTTATTGTTGTTGTTGTTGTTGTTATTGTTTACTGAATGTTGAAATTATGTGAGTTGAATGAAAGAAAAGCAAAGAATAAAAAAACTGATTTTTACTAAATGTTTAATGAAATAAAAAAAAATAGTCTTCAATTTTTCTTTTCTTTCTTGTTCTGTTGAAGTGTAATGATTTTCTGTTCATTTTAAGATTGAGTAGTTATATCTATCTATCTATCCACACATCTATCTATCTATCTATCTATCTATCTATCTATCTATCTATCCACACATCTATCTATCTATCTATCTATCTATCTATCTATCCACACATCTATCTATCTATCTATCTATCTATCTATCTATCTATCTATCTATCTATCTATCTATCTATCCACACATCTATCTATCTATCTATCTATCTATCTATCCACACATCTATCTATCTATCTATCTATCTATCTATCTATCTATCCACACATCTATCTATCTATCTATCTATCTATCTATCCACACATCTATCTATCTATCTATCTATCTATCTATCCACACATCTATCTATCTATCTATCCACACATCTATCTATCTATCTATCTATCTATCTATCTATCTATCTATCTATCCACACATCTATCTATCTATCTATCTATCTATCTATCTATCCACACATCTATCTATCTATCTATCTATCTATCATCTTTTACTCATAAATTGTCTTATAGTTTTTATTACATTTCATTGTGTTAAATATTTTATTCTTGATGAATAAGTACTGGATACCTGCTGAGGGTATTCATTCATTCATACAAACATCTTATACCAATATATAATCGTATAATTGTTGATTTGTCTTAAGAAATAAAGATACATTATTTACAGTTCAATTGTTTCATTTAACAAGAAATAGTTTGAACTATTATGGATTTTTTTTTGTTGTTGGCACTTTGAGATGAATAAATGATTACTGATTAACTCCTAATAAGAGTTTATCATATTTTTTGGCTATAGAATAATGAGATTATATATATATATATATATATATATATATATATATATATATATATATATATATGTCATGCGTGTCTAGTCCTTATTTAGTGCAGATCGAATGTTATCGGGATTGAATCCGCCAGGGGGCACCAGTTCCCTCAAGATTACAGGCACACCTTCTTGACGAGTGCCAAGTAGCACGAAACCCGGGTCCAGGGTTTCCTGTCGACTACCTCCAACCACCATCTCATCTCAATTGGCATAAATCTATACTTGATCTAAATTTCATGCTAGTTGATATTTAATAAGAAATAAAATGACACTGATTATTGTTTTCCAGGTTAAATGATTCATTTACTCGATATTCTATAAAATTTCTTATATTTAGTTAATTTACATTCAAATGATATAGCAGACCAAAATACTTTCTTGTTTAATTTTGTTAATTAAAGTTACCTGAACTTTCAGCAAGTTGGTCATTTATTTTTTCATAATTTCTTTCTTGGTTTCATATTTTTTTGTTAAGCTGAATCACTTGTTCGACCTCGAGTTGATCGTACTGCTAGTCCACCATCTGCTACACTTTATTGGTCTGAAGCGCGAAGACTTGCTTCTTTTCCAAATGCTCGTTTACCAGATTCCAATAGTTTACCGGCTATAGACAGATATGATTTTCCTGCTCCACCTTCACCAGCTGTTGTTATGATTGATAAACGTAAGTAAATTGTACCATGTGAATAAAACTGATGAGTCAATATTATAATGTATGAAATTTGTAGCACGTTATCACTGTTATACTATTTATAATCACTTTACTAGAAACTATAAGTATTACCTATTCTGTTCATTTCATCAACTTTCAGGTCGTGAGAAACGTATGACTGGTGTACAGTCAGTTGGTGTAGATAGTAGAAATGGTACTTTAAGGAATGGAACAATGACATCAGTCGATACAGACTGGACTGATCGGGATCCTGTATTAAATGCTAAACTAGATCGAATTGATGCTGAGATTGAGACATTGAAACGATTAGGTGAAAGTTCCGGTATTACAGCGGTAAGCATATATTTCTGTTTAAAATATTAATTCGCTTTTTAAAAAATACTTTTACACCAATAAGGAATTACATTGTGCTCAAATGTATTTTTCGTAAAACTTACCACTGAATATCTAATAAATATGTCATTAATTAATTGATTAATGTTGTAACAGTAAAAGTGCCATGAAAAATGAATTTGTGAGTCGAATGTTTGCTCTCATTACCAAAAAAGTTGTCGCTTTAAATTTATTCACTTGGACAATAAGCTGTTGATAGTTGTTTGTTGTTCTCGTTTTAAGTTTAGTTAGAAGCCTTATGAATGTTGAAGGGAAGTGAGGTCTTCTGATTTCTCCTGATATGACGAATACCTTATTTTTGTTTTCCCTTAAATTTTTGTTGAAAAACAATAACGAAGATTGTGCAATGAAATGAATTCATTTCACTTCGTGTACTTGAAATCATCCATATACCCACTAATTTGTACAAATAAATGAAATACTGTAATTTTATATGCAAAATGTAAACATTTTATTTATTTATACAAATCAATGCGTATGTAGATGATTTAGAGGTTGAAAGAAAGCTAGGGGCGGCCAGACCAAAACATGGCACAAGTCCATGAAGTCACTGACAAGTGGACTGAGTCATGTTGGTAGGTGTAGACCACCTGGTTGGGGACCGCGAGATGATAGCAACCGATGGTTAGAGACCCTGAATGACATGACTCAAAATCGTTTGCAATGGCGCAGATGCATACACTGTTTGTGTTCTCCCAAATTTTAAGCTCCTGATTCTTCCTTGTCTCTTTTTTTCTCTTCCCAAATTTATTTCATTGGATTATACTCCTTGGATAACATTTTCAAACCCTAGTCTATCCGATTACTGCTTGTACTCTTGATACCTCTACCACTACGGGATTTGAATCGACAATTGCATATCTGTGCTAATGTGGTGTGGCAACTCGAACTGATGTACGTATGTACGAAGTTCTACGTTGTTACTGACTGACTGATTTATTTTATATTGCTCGTTATTCTTTGTTTACAAACGTTTATCAAAGGAACGTAGTGCAAGGAGTACGTTGAATTTGACTGGTTGTTAATAACGAGATAAAACATATTTATGGTCATTTCATCACTTACATTTTGGTCAAATTAAATCTTGCTCAATATATCAAGTTCTCGATTATGTACTTAAGCTTGGGCTAACTTTTTTGTATGGAGAACATGTTACACTATTCAGTTGCTCGAATTACTGAAAGTGAATATGGATTGAAGGTTTAAACCTTAGTGATTGAATAGTGAAAGCTCTATCCAATCGATCACCTCTTCACTCTTTCATTTATTGTTCAAATAGTTTCATTATATTATTGAATATTTTCTAAATAATGATTTTATTTATAAAATTCACTCATGGTTTAATGAATGTTTCAATATTCATTATCTATGTGGTTTGAAAGGTTATGTACTGTTTTGAATCAATTGTTTAAGTCAATATATGATACCAGCCCCCAAATGCCGTGGTACGGCCGAGAGTAGGGAGAGTCCGCTCTCCCTCTCGAAATGCTCTCATATGGCCACGCGTATATAGCCTCTGCCACGGAAGTCCTACTCACTGCCTTCTCGTGGCATTACTGTTGTTTAGGAAAATGAGAGGACGAAAAGCGAATGTCAGGCGCTTTAACCGGATTCCAAACCAATGATGTACATGTGCTCCAGTATCCTGCGGGAACAAATGGTTTATGAACCAATCGTTGGTCACCGGCTACCATGGGACTTCATCTCCTTAAGATGCTCCACTGCCTTGTGGATCAGACCTTCAGGTCGAAGGCACCGGGTGTGCCCCCTATTAAAACCAGCTGCTTCGGTTTGGGCACCCGGGCAGCATCACAGCCCTCACACATATCGAATGAGATTTGTGTGGCGCATATGTATTTGGTGCCTCCTTGTACCAATATCTATGTGTTAAAATAAATAAATATATGATACCAACAATCATGGTATAATTGTTCTCAACTAAAACAAATAATGGTGAAACTTCACATTCTTTCTTCATGACACAATAGTTATGTTGTGTTGATGTTACAAATTAAATGTTTCGTTAACTTTTAGTTTAGGTAATGTTACTTGTTTATCAATTTAATGATGGTTTTTTTATTAGAGAAAAAAAAACGATACATTTTGAAATCATTTTATATTGATGCTGTGTTAGTAGTGTAGTCAATTGTTTTCATTATGTAATCCATTTTTAGTATTTTACAAGTAATGAGTTAGTTCTTTTAAACAAATCTAGTACTTACTTACTTACTTACGCCTGTTACTCCTAATGGAGCATAGGCCGCCGACCAGCATTCTCCAATACACAAAAATAGTAATCTTACTTAAATGAAAACGAAGAAAACGATGATCAATGTTAATTTATAGTTCAATTTATGATGATATGACACGACAACAATAACATTGTTTACCTGTCTGAAAAGTGTTTGTTTACTGAATAGATATGTGTATATATGTATTGCTCATTTTAATGAACTCATTTCTCTCTCTCTTTACTGAAATAATGTGGTTTACATATTTTTTTATTGTCTCTGAAAGGCTCTTATTCAAGAATTGGAAGCCAGTAAATTACATGTTCATGAGACAGATTTAGATCCGATTTCTGCTTCACGATCACCGAATGCAAATGTAGAACCTGGTTACAAAACACGATATAGACGGCATGGATATACATGTAAGTTTGTTTTCCTTATACATTATTTACTTACTTAATTATTTACGCCTGTTACTCCCAATGGAACATAGGCCACTGACCAGCGTTCTCCATTCTACTCTGTCCTTGGCCCTCCTTTGTAGTTCTATCCAATTCTTGTTCATTCTTCTCATGTCTGTCTCTATTCCTCAGCGTAATGTGTTCTTTGGTATTCCTCTTTTCCTTTGGCATTGAGGATTCCATATGAAAGTTTGCCTTGTGACACAGTTAGGTACTTTCCTCAATGTATGTCCTATGCACTTCCATCACTTCTTCCTGATTTATTCCTCCTCTGGAATCTGGTTTGTCCTCTTCCACAACAGGTTGTTGCTCATAGTGTCTGGCCAAATGATCCGAAGCATTTTGCGAGACAACTGTTAATAAACACCTGTATTTTCTGGATGATGGCTTTCGTAGTTCTCCAGGTTTCTGCCCCATACAGTAGAACTGTCTTGACATTTGTATTGAAAATCCTGACCTTGGTGTTGGTTGACAGTTGCTTTGAGTTCCAGATGTTCCTCAGCTGTAAATTTGCTGCTCTTGCTTTTCCGATCCGCGCCTTCATATCTGCATCAGATCCACCATGTTCATCAATGATGCTGCCCATATATGTGAAGGTTTTTACATCTTCCAAATCTTCTCCGTCAATTGTGATTGGATTGGTGCATTCTGTGTTGTATCGGAGAATCTTGCTTTTCCCTTTGTATATGTTGTGACCTACTGCTGCTGAGGCTGCTGCTACGCTGATCTTCTTCTCCTGCATTCGTTGTTGCGTGTGTGATTTTTCTTTATACATTGATCTGACGTAATTGTTTTGTAATGAAAACTAAGTATTTTAGAAAGACTTTGTATTAGATGTGTTTGTTGTTCAGTCAGACTCTATTCTTTGTTCAACACTAAAGTAACTGATGTCATTCTAACGACACCATAATACTCATTATTCTAAAATTATCTGTTCAAATTATTTGTTAATTCAGCTTTTAGTCGTAATGCTGATTGACCAATTAACAATTTGATCATTCTTATTGAGTTGGAAATGGATGCCAGTCATCATGTTTAATTTTTATTTGACAATATACTTCTGAGTAGTAGTAGTATATTACGTCATGTTGTTTGCTATACTTAGTCTTTGTTCACCAGAAACTGTTTCGATAACTGGACTTTTTTTCAAAAGTAATCTTTGTTATTATGAAGAGTAAGTTCATGAAAACTTTGCAAAGCTTTTTCCTTAACCCTCTATAAATGTATCCTTTCAAACTTATATTAATATTGTCCTAATGTACCTGTTCATTGTCTCGTTTCTAATATGTAACTTTATATTCAATTGGAAGTATTTTCTATGATTAATCTGTGTCATTGTTGTATTACCATTCTATTCAAAAATTTTTTGTTGATTTTTGTTTACCATGAAATTCCAGCATCTAATTACATTCCAAATTTAAATCTTGAATCTTTCCTTAAAGAATTGTTTTACTAAAATGTATAAATACATATTAGTAAATAAATAGAAGAGAGTATATGTGTTAAACTCTTGACATCTCATTTGGATTTAAGTAGTTATTTTAAATAATTTAAAAAAAAAACGAAACCTTAAAGATTAGAAGAATGAACTTGCAAGTACAACAATGTTGTATCAGAAGCGGTTTTGTGAAGATTGTAGTAATTCCAATAGTTGAGATCATGAGTCAATTGTAAATAGACCACCATGGAAAATCTGGAAACACTGGACGACCTTTACATTCTATCGCGGGACTCCTCAGCAGTGTGCATCAACGACCCCACCTCGCGAGATTCAAACTCAGGACTTGTCAATCTCGCACGCTAGCGCTTAGCCACTAGACCACTGAGCCGACATCCAACGGTATCCAACATCATTGTGACATACAAAACATATTACACTATACGTGTATCTAATATCGGAATGAATACATTTATAACAAATACACACAAAATTGTTTAATGCCGGTGTATTTCTTCATCGATCAACTGTTTTCAAGAAATATCAACCCTCAAGTTACAAACAAACATTGTATTGTGTATGAATTTTTTTCATCAATAATTTGGTTCATAAACGTTTTTCATTCAATTCTTTACTTAAGTTAATATTATACAGTAAAGTAAATTATTTCATATAGTTAAATAATTACAGTCAGACAAATTCAATGACCTAAATGTTTAACATAAATAGGTTAATCAGTTATTAAGCTATCTGTCTGTTAACTGTTTTCACAACCCACGGCAACGATATAGCCTTACAAATTCACTTTATCCCATATATAATTTCTTTTTAAATATAGGTCATCTTTGAAACAGTTAAGCTTATCATATATAAAAACCTTATAAAACTGTTTTATAAATATATATAACAGCGGGATCCAGAATGAGCATCTCATTCGGTTAGAGACTCGTCAATCGAATGAATTTGAGTTTCAGTGCTGATGTTTACACTGAAATTTAAAACCAGTCCACTTTACTTCAAATGCCAACGCATTATTCACCGAGCTACTGAGTTTTGATAACCGCTGACTTATGCATCGGGTATGAATTATATTTGTAAGGATTTGTATTTTACCGTGGAACGAAACATACATTCTGAATTTCACTAGTAACCGCAAACCAAATATACTAAAAAACCTTTGACCAATGGCTTTATCGAGCCAATCAATTCAGGATGAAAGTATGCCGACAGAGATTGATCAATTGTAATAATTATCGTCAACAATTGAAAAATATAATAACTTACAGATAAACAACTTTCAAGTTATCTCCTAAATATACTGAATTTTTTCCTAGAGTTGCTTCTTTGTATGCCTTTCACTTTCTGTCTAAAATAAAATCGATTTATTGGAATTTATATCTTAAAATGTTCTTTTGATTTTCTATGTTTTCTCATGCAGCTCCATCACGTGATACTAGGAGAGATCGTCGAAGTGGTCATAATTTATCCTATCGATTGGAATATTCCAGTACCGGTGGACGTTCAGGAACTATACCGAGCTTCTCATCAAGTAAAAATATGAATTTTTTCTTCACAATTTTACCTTGATTATATTACTTTAGGCATTATCTATTAAGTGAACTGTGAATTTACGTACTTTTTTGTAGGCTTATTTTTCTGGGATTCGTTGAGAGTGTTTTATCACTGGTTTCTAGATTATTTCCTTCTATTTAAATCAAAACACTTTTTTTCCTGTTTACTTAGAAATGTTGAATTACATTACATTTTAATTACTCTTATTTATAAAAGATATTAAGTTCTTTCTCAATGTCATAAATCTCTACAGACTAACATAATATCTCATATAAATACTTACTTACTTACTTTAGTTACGCCTGTTACTCCTCGTGAATGAGCATAGGCCGATCACCAGCATTCTCCATCCAACCCTGTCCTGGGCAATCCTTTCCAGTTCCTATTCATCCTTTTCATATCTGCTTCTATTTCCCGACGTAATGTGTTCTTTGGCCTTCCTTCTCTCCTCTTCCATTCAGGATTCCAAGTTAGGGTTTGCCTCATGATGCAGTTTGATGATTTGCGTAATGTATATCCTATCCATTTCCATCGTCATTTCCTAATTTCTTCTTCAGCTGGATGCTGGTTTGTTCTCTCTCACAGTAGGCTGTTGCTGATGATATCTCATATAAATAGTCATTCCATAAAAAAGATGAGGTTAGATTAATGATGCAAATTATTACAAATTAGGGAATATGTGAAACGTGAACTCATTCACATGCATTTCAATATAGAGTTTCCTTATTTATAAGAGGTTTCTAATAGTAAACAGTAATAAAACTTAGAATATGTATTGATTCTGTGAATAATTTGTTAGTTTAATGTATTAATCATATAAAATGTATATTCTTTTCCACCCCCACTACTTTTTATTCATTTATTTCTTTATTTATTTATTGCATCATTACTCCACCTCTTTCTGAAGTTTAAATTACATCATACATAAATGATTGATTTCAATTCATATTTTCTTTATTATCCATAAATCTATATTCATGAGTTCTAATCGCTATCTGAATGTTCTGGAACTTTTCCTCTCAAACTCTATTTATTCGAAACAAAAACTCTATCGGAATCTTTGCCACATCATGATACACATATATTCACCCATTAATCACCCTCTTATGTAATAAGTATGTCAATATCTGTAATAACGCTGACTTTCAAATATTTTAAGTTGTAAGTAGCTGATGAGAACCTAATGGAATAAAATGAATCTATTTATTATTCGGCACCAATCTTTATTGTTGTTCTCTTTAAGATAATAAAAGGAACTATGTGTATGAAAATTCTTTGAAATTGTTGAATGAATGAGACCATTAAAAACAGAACTGAATACAAATTGACATAAATTAGATAATCATACGATAATTTATCAGTTATTATGTGTAAATAAACTAATTTCGGTCAATTGTAATAATAATAATAATGTAGTGGAAGTGTATACAATGTATTACATCAGAATAATTCAAAGTTTGTTACATTTATCCACAGTGTTGCGTATAAACAAACTTACACTAATGAATCGTCATCTGTTTGATTAAATGGTACATTTTCAAGAGTTTTTTTGACAATTTGAATAACAATAGAATCGTTGCCAAACATTAAATAAAATAGAATACCGAAAACCTATTATGAATGGTTTTTAGTGTTTCTTTGTGACGTAATTTTATAACCATTGGTGTTTGGGCCTAGACTTATAATCATGTAAAGCCCCCATACTGAATTTGAACTGTTCCGTATCTTTATGAAGATTTAGTGTCATCATCATTTGGTGATGGGTTTTTTGTGTGTTCAATTTTAGCTCTGCCTATTTGGAATCTTAATCACACATTCCCTCTTCAGCTAAGCATTCATGATTAGTGGTTTTATGTAATCAATCACACATAGATTGTGTTCCTTGTATTTTCAAAAAATACTTATCAATTTAGCATAAACTTAATATCTCAATCTTTGGAATATTTAATCCCATTCCATTAGAATCTGTCTCTATCTGTTTATATATATTTATGTTTGTCCACATCATCATCATGTTCTAGGATACGATCATGAGTATACAGTCAGACAACATGGTCAGTACATGAGATCAACTTATTCAGGTATTCTGATTCATTATCATGTTGTAATTATTACTCATTGTATACCTGTAATAAATGGCATGTGGTTCTGTCAACACAAATTTGCACTTCATTTAATTTTCTTTTTTTTTGTGTGCATTATTACCACTAAAAATTTCTGTTCATTTTTACATGAATATAAGTTGTATTATTGAATACTTTTAATGGATTTCAATCTAGTTTAAGAAATGAGTGAATTTTGAACAGTTGTTGCTGTGGAGATGTTATTTAATGGTAAAAAAAACAATAACACTACTATTAATTGGGATTTATCGATAGTGAATGTTTCCTCTATTTTGTTTCAACTTCATCCTTTTTGTTCACAGTGGTTGTTAAAGTTGCGTAACTAAGATTAAAATTACAATAATAGAAAGATTTTGACTTTGTTGAGGGAACAGTCTTTGAATAACTTGGAATAATCCTAAATATGGCTTCTTTTTTGCACCCATATATATACATGCTTTCATCATGGAACATTTGGTAGCAATCAACGGTTTTTTGTTGTTGCTTATAAACGATTACTTCGTTATTGTGGAAGGTAATAAGTACATCATTTTAAGGAATAGCAAATTAGTTGGTCAAGTATTTGGATTTCTGTGTATAAAGCAGTTAATCACTTTGTTCTATGCAAACCACAATCCCCTAATCGGAGTTACGTTGCTCACTTCTCGGTCATATAAAGCTTTAAATAATTGGACTTTTGATTAGCTTCTTCAAAATGAACATCTACATGACTTCTACTTAAAACTTTGTTTGACTTCTGATCTGCATTATATACTATTTTAATGTTTGTACATGTTGTAGGCAAATTTTGTTCTATTTCATACTGTCGCATTGTTTTTTCTCACTAGGTTTGTTAGTTCCTAACGCTTTGCATGAGAACTATATGTTCCGTTATTTCTGAATATATGAATGTGAATGGATTTTTGGTTAATCCTCATTATGTTATTCGATTACATTTGTTTACGTTTTCCATTGTAAACATACATACAAACACGTTTACTAAACTCAATATTTCTTTCAAGGGTTTATGTTGGTAGCAGACAGTTTTTAGTGACGTTAGTAAATTCACTAACCAGTTACATAGTTTATATTAGACTAGTAAATATGTGTTGGTGACGCATAAGTGTAGAATTCCTAAGAGATGAATATACGAAGTTTGTTTAGTGAAGGCCACAATTTCATATGAAAAGAATAGAGTTATTCGTGAAGTAAAAATGACTCAAAAGTCACATACTGTCTGAGTTATCCAAGTCTATACTAAAGTTAGGATAAATCACGTCGGTGTGTAAAGCTTAAGTTAGTCATTTGATATGAAGAAACAACTGATAGTGAGTGATTTAAACTGTTATACTGATTCGGAAAATTATGATTATAATCTTAACTACTACTTATTTACTTAATTTACATGGAGTTTGGCGTAACTGGGTGATATGATGAAAAGAAAAGTCAATTTCCAATTGATTTACTCATTATGAGTTTTGTTCTAGATTAATTCCGTTTTGATTTAATGTAATGATTGCTCAATGTAGTGTTTGTTTTCTCGAATGATATTTTATTCTGTTATAATATACGATATCCTTGTATTCCATTGACATGAACTATGCTCAGTATGTGATTTCTTATAACTCGAAGTATTTTTCATATATGTGATTTCATCCTAATTATTAATCAAAATGGGTGTACAATCAATACATAATTGAGTGTATTTTCTACTAGATTCGTCGTCGTCGCGTTTTTGGGTTCATAAGTCATCACTTTGTGTTCTTAATTTCACGTCGCTGGAGTTGCAGAGGTCCCTCGTTCTGAGTATAAAAGATAAACTTTTCCGACATAACAATCAGTGACGACCAGATACAAAAAGTAGCATTAAAAGAGCCTAGACAATAAGCATTCAAACGATAGGTTTTAACAGTGAGCAACACAATAGTGTGTATACCATACAATATAAACTCTATGTGTGGCGTGGAACACTTGTCAGCCACCCCAAAAAAACTTGGTTTTCTTTAGGGTTTGCGTTCTGTATCCACAGTTTTTATTAAGAGCCATATATTCATTTTCTTCTTCACGTTCGTAAGAAGTGCCTTTCTATGTGAAGGCAAAGATGGGTGTTATTAGGTTGTACTTTTCTTCTTGTTTAGTCGTTAAGTGTCTGATACTTGAATCAGTCAATTAATGTCCTTCTACTTTCAGAGAATAAGCATACTTTAAGCTCCCTAGTTGAAGGCACACTCAGTGATATCAATTCAGCTTATTGATCACGAAATTCGCTCGAAGTGTTTATTATAGATCAGTGAATTACGTCAGATTTTCGGATTTTCAGCTGACTGCTGTTGAATAGGTCATTGCTTGTAGCGAAATATTCGTATTACGTCTATACTGTAAATATTTCATGACAAATGCTATATGTATGTGATTACTTAAAGAATTAAATCTTAACAAAGTCGTTTCATTAAATTGTTATCAGATAATTGATAAAGATCTAATTATTAAGTAAACTGACTAATTTCATTTTTACTAATACTGAATGACAACTCAAGATGTTAGAGAACACTATGTTTATCCTCCAAATATAAATATATTACATTGAAACTGCTGAATGAAAACTAGTTTCATTAGGAAGTAGATGAAGTTATCCAGAGATTTCGACTTTTTCATTGCTCGCTAGTGTCATCCCTTTTAGTGGTTGAACAGTTGTTAAAATTTCAAATCAGATCTAATTTATTTCAAGTTTTTCGCACAATACACATCATAAATCAAAGAGTAGTGATTTATTTGTAAACTATTCTATATGCATTTCACTTAAGAAATCTAAGATCTAACACTGTACGTAAACACTTGTTCAACGAATTAGTTACATTTCTAGTCGTTTTTATAAACTTAGACTGTTGGTATTCGATTTTGAGTATTTTTAATTTTAGAACAATGTTACTCATATAAACCTAAAATTAATTGAAGATTACTAGATAGCAACTATAAATCTGTTTATATTCTGGTTATGCACTTTAATCAGTTATAATGGTTAGGACATATGGTACACATGGTTAATGTTATACTAAAGTTTTCTTTTTGTTGTTGCTAATTCTTTTCTATATTGTCTAAAAATTAGTTTGTGTAAACAAGAAAGAAAAGGGTTTTAATTTATTTACTTTTATACATCTGTGAATTTTTTTCGCTTATTGGCTGCATTCATATTCACTTTTATTATCTTTATCACAAATTTTGAAATTCATTCTCACCTGTCTTATTATTTCTCCCATAGTTATATCATTGGGTTTTTTTTTTAAAAACACTATTGCATGTTTGCATAGATCGGATAGCTATGAAAGTAATGGGTTCTATATATATTGTATTGTATTTCTTCTTTGTAATGTTTCTGGTTAGTGCTTTTTTAGCGAGTTAGTTTTATACGGAATGGGGTCGCCAAACTTATGCTCAACCCTCCTCCTTTATCAGGACTTGGGGCCGGGAGTAGCCTCCGGAGGGACTCCAGGCGGAGTTATGCGTAACTTTAGAGCATATAAAATACAAATTCGACTAAACAAATGTTTTAAAAAAAATTCTGCTAAGGAATATTGTTTTAAGTATGAGTAACTCCTAGATCACTTGCTTAAATCCAACTTAGATGTAAGTGGTAGAGTGGAACCATGTTTGAAGTGGGCCTATTGCTCATTGGTCACATTAATTAACGATCGCTCTACTTTACAAGTTGATTTGAGTTAAAGAAGGAGTTTATTGAATTTAGAATTTCGTTACTCCAATGAATTTATCGGCGAAATTGTTGTTTGACTATTTTTCATGAAAAGCCCACTGTCTACGTTCGTCTACTAAACATACCTACAAACCGTAAAGTAAAGATATAGGCAGTCACTTTTACAAACCACAAATATCAGCGTTCAGTAATGTTTTACAATCAACGATACTTTTGTTTACTGTTTATTTAACTAGTAGTAACAGTAATCTCATGATCAAAATTTGATTACTTTCTGAAAAGTAAAGTGTTTTAAGATGGTGGAAAAATTCGAACACTTTACTTCTATCTGAATTTTGTGCTGATGATGTCGTTCAGAAGAATGATGAAAGCTTCACGACTAAACCTTCCAGCTCAGAGTACAAAACTTTATCACAAGTAAAACGTTTTAAACAAAGAAATTAACATTAGAGCATATGATCCATATAAAATCACGACTAAATTATCGTAGAAATATTTATTGAACCATGCAATTACCAAAGTTTTTATGATAAATTAAGTTTTCACTGATTCAGTCATTGATTCAGTGTATACTTCCTTCTGTTTTCAAATAAGTGTATATCTCACTCTCTTAATTACTTTTATTTGCTAAAACAAACAAAGATATTAGTATTGTTTTTGTAGAATATCAACATGTGCTCACTAGTGACTAGCTTCGTGAGCGAATTCTCGGAGTTCTAGTGAGAAGCCGTGACCAGTGAAGCTAATCCATGTCGGGTAGAGACAGGTATCTACCTCAGTACAATGGAAGTTGGTCGCGCGATTTCGTGGATTGGTTGATGTTAGACACTATCACCACTGGATGCCGGCTCAGTGGTCCAGTAGGTTAAGCGCTCGCGCGCGAGACTGAAAGCCCTGGGTTTGAATCCCGCGAGTGGGATCGTGGATGCGCACTGCTGAGGAGTCCCATAGTAGGACGAAATGGCCACCTAGCGCTTCCAGGTTTCCAAAGGTGGTCTAACATCAATCGGTTCATGATCTCAATCAAAAATTGAATAATCTCCACAATCCCTATACCAGTAATATCTTATGTGTTAAAAATTTAGTTATGTTTAACATTCGTGTGATAGTAAATATGTAGTTTAGTATGTCGTTATGCCTACATTTGATAAGTCAAATGACAAAATAGACTACAGAATAGTTTCCTTTATGATTTATAAACTGTTCATAATCAATTTGAAGAGAAATGAATTGGTTATATCATTCTTAAACATTCTATAGAATAGTTGATATATTTGTGTCTAAAGATCAATTGTTTTAATCACTAAGTGACTGTTATTAGATAAGAAATATTATTTTTTTAGTTTACACATTCATTAAGGGGAATATAATTGGTCATTTAATAATTTCCTGTATTTTAATTAGTAAATTTATTGATAGTTTCTTCCATAAGTAACTGAATTCGATTTACGAAGATTTTACATTGAACTATTTCACTACATTTTTTTTTAATTTTTCAGTTTGGCTCTACAGACTCAAGGTTGAATAGATGTGTCACCTTGACAACAAAGCATTAATAAATTAAGATTAAAACAGTGTAAAATAGTGTCCCCATTTACCACTATTCTTATTAAGAATTATAATGTATTGTTTATTTTCAGTCTATTAAAATACATTCAGTAAATATACGATTTATAAAAATACATCTCAACTCTATTGTTTAATGAGTTTGTTCCATTTCTATTCAGTTAGTAGCAGGTATACTTATGTTTATTGTTGTCTTCAGTATTATTTATTGATATCTAATTTGCTTTGTAAATGATAGCTCCACGTCCTGGCTACACGTCTGGAATACTTTATGGTCGAGCGGTTAGTTTACCGCGACCATTTATCGGTGTAGAAAATGGTGATACACTATTAGATCAAAGTACATTGTCTGGACATGTTCCAGTTGCAAGTTCAGGTATACGTGGATCTTTATCAACAACTTTGAGAACAATCCCATCACGTCATAGTTATCATCCAGGTGGACATTCCAATCATTCAGGTGAAGTTATCAATGGTCCTGATCGTACAGTCACTGTATCGGAATCACTGAATACTAATTTTATCGAAAATGAATCACGTCCAATTGGTTTTCATGATGGATTAGGTTCATGTGAGTAATACTCTTATGAATTATGTTTTTCCCTTCTTTTAATGATTACTCTTCAATTCCGACTTTATAGTATACGTCGAAATTCACTTGTTTACCTTGTTTGCCTAACTATCTTTTTTAGCTCTTACTTTCAGTTCTACATAATTTTCAATGATGCTTTACTTGACGTTACTACAAATCATTTGATTGAAATGTAAAACATTGTATATGGAGCTAGTACTCCAAAGGTAGGCGGCCTATTCTCCTCCATGAAGGGCAACAGACGTAATTAAGCAACTCTAGAAGTTAAGCACTAACCTTGATATCTGAAGGATGTGGTTCTCATCCTCTGTTGTGAGGCCGTGGATTCTCACTTCTATGAAGCCCCATATTAGGACGAAGCTGCTATCCAGTCATTATCGATTATCTACGGTTATATGACTGATGTTAGTCCATGAGGTGGAACTATAAAGTTTTACAACCTTCATAAACCCCCATACTAAAATATACCAATTTGGACAATCTCCATGAACCTCTGAAGTTAATAGAAAACTTTTCTTTGCTCATTGGTTTTACAAAATATAGTTTTATATAAAGTATTTGTCGATATACAGATTGTCCTGAAAACCATGTCTCTTGATATTCCCTATTATTCTTTAAATTTATTCAATTCACAGTGTTAATGTTTTCTGATAAAATCCTTGTATTTTGTTGTTTGAGTGCATTGATTTAAGTGATAGCCATTGTTTGTATATCTACAAATGGGAAGGAACAAACTCTGTTCAATGTGGTACTTGCAATTTCTTACATACCGTATAAACGGACATATATTTGTGTATCTATGGTTAAAACTTACAAGAATTAGTGGTAATGTTTTTGCTTGTCCAGTTACATTATCTTTTCTGAATAATAATTTGTCATTATAACCAATGTTGATGATGTACATCTCTTAATTAGTTGACAGTAGTCGTTATTGTACAGTTTCTTTTCTACTTAAAAGTGATCTCATTCGTTACACTGTATTTCATCTATAGAAAACCAGTAAATAACCATGACCATTATTATTAAGATCGTTTGATTTAGATACTTTTAAAATACTAACACAATAACAATTAAATAAATTGATCGTAATGAACAACATTTATTTAACTAACCTTTCTTCACTTCCTCTGGTTTTTAATAAAATGTCCTACATCGTAGCGGTCACTTCCTGGTTCTTGACCGTTTATATTTGTTGTATAAATAAACTACTTTATTGCAGTTAAGCGTACTTTGCATTTTCATAATTCCCGTTTTTCTATTTTTTCTTGTTCACATTCATTATTACAGTGACAACATCAGGTTTATCAATGGATGGTTTTATGGCAGAATCCGGTGATGATATAACTATTACTAGTCCACATAATGGTTATTTTTTAAAATCCAGGACTGTAGCTGGTCTGCCTAGTTCTGTAACAGGTCTTCGACCAGTTGGTTTACCACCACATCATCCTTATCATCATCATCATTACAAAACTAGTAGTTCAGCAATGAGGCGCGGACGCATTAGTACTCCAGCACCAACTAGAAGTGGTAGTGGTATGGGTTATTTAACTGATCCTGATCTACTAGATATTGATGCTTATCCGTCTGTACAAAGTTGGTTAAGGCCTACTGCATCATCATCATCGAAATATGAAAAGTCTTTCAAAGTAAGCGTTCTTTCGTATTCATGAGTTTCAGGGATTTTTAAAAGATGTTTTCACGAAAATTATAATCTATTATTTTTAGACATTATTAACTTACGCGTGTTAGTCCTTGTGAAGGAGCATAGGCCGCCAAACAGCATTCTCCATCCAACCCTGTCCTGGGCAATCCTTTCTAGCTCCGTCCAGTTGTAATTCATCCTTCTCATATCTGCTTCTATTATCCGACGTAATGTGTTCTTTGGCCTTCCTTTTTTTCGCTTCCCTTCAGGATTCCAAGTTAGTACTTGCCTCGTGATGCAGTTTGACGATTTGAGTAATGTGTGTCCTATCCATCTCCATCGTCTTTTACTAATTTCCTCTTCAGCTGGATGCTGGTTTGTTCTCTCCCACAGAAGGCTATTGCTGATGGTATCGGGCCAATGGATGTTGAGTATGTTGCGTGGACAACTATTTATAAATACTTGTACCTTCTTGACGATGTTTGTAGTATTTCTCCAAGTTTCAGCTCCATACAGTAGAACTGCCTTGACGTTCGTATTGAAGATTCTCACTTTGACATTGGTTGACAGACAGTTGTTTTGAGTTTCATATGTTCTTCAATTGTAGGAATGCGACCCTTGCTTTGCCGATCCTCTCGTTTACGTCTGCATCTGAACCTCCTTGTTCATCGATGATGCTTCCTAGGTATGTGAAGGATTCTACATCTTCCAGAGTTTCGCCATCAAGAGTGATTGGATTGTTGTTTTCCGCTTTGAATTTGAGGACTTTGGTTTTCCCTTTGTGTATGCTGAGGCCTACTGATGCAGAGACTGCTGCTACACTGGCTGTCTTCATCTGCATCTGTTCGTGTGTACTTGATAGGAGGCCCTTAGCTCTTATAGCGTTACTGCCGGTCCCAAGCCCGGGTAAAGGAGGAGGGTTGGGCATGGTGTTAGCGTCCCCATCCCGTAGAAAACTAACTCGCTAAAAAAACGCTTACCAGAAAAAATAATCCAAACTATTTTTAGACATTAGATGATAAAATAACTTAAAATCGATTTGATTCTTTGAGTAAATGATCTAATCCATATATCTTATGTTTGTATGTTAAACAATAGTGATATTTCGTATTAAATTTATTAAAGACACATTAATGATAAATCTAATATAACTTATTTGTGGTGCATACTACTTATATTGATATAAGTAGTATATGACGCGAGTCAGGAATGTAATGTCTGGCAGCAAAGACGGTAGAAGATCAAGAAAGAAAGACCAGGAGTAGAAAGCAATTAGTATGGAAATTAAAGAACATCGAAATTCGAGACAATTATTGAATATTTTGCAAATTAAGTATCATAGTATGGTTTTTCTATTTTACCAAGTAACTCTGTAATTTTGTGCTCAACATAATTCGGTTGTCCTCACCTGTGTTTCCCTTCACTACAATTAACCAAAGCATATTTATATGATTTACTTTGAATGATACTATGAGAAGGTTGGTAATACGACCTATCTAGCTCAAACATAGTAGTTGAGCTTGTGCTCGAACCTGTGATTTTGACAGGTTGAAATTCAAGTGTTATAATGACTAAATGACTACTATTCAAAAATAGTTTTTAATGAAAAAAATGAATTGTATAGAGATGGATATCTTGTCAATGTAAGTCAACATATCAAACATGGTGTGTACAATGCACTTGTCATTTTTTTTTCAATACAAATAATAACCAATTACCGCAATTGATTGATCACTGGGTGATAATCAATATCATGCGTGTCTAGTCCTTATTGGTGCAGATCGAATGCTATCGACCATAATGCAATGTGGCCACCAGTGTAGGTGACTCGACATTGCGGGCACTATATATCGAGATTAGATGGTGGTTTGAGGTAGTCGACACGGTGGCCACATTGCAACATGGTTGATAGCATTCGATATGCACTAATAATAAGGACTAGACACGCATGACATCATCACACTGTGATCAATCAATTGTGATTACATCTCAGTCCTACAGGAGGTCGATCGCAGCTCGGATAGCTCAGTGGTAACGTCTCTGACTGTGAAGCAGGGTGACATGAGATCAAATCCGCCAGGAGCACCAGTTCCCTTAAGACTACAGGTACACCTTGCTGACGAGTGCCAATTAGCACGAAACTCGGGTCCAGGGTTTTCTGTCGACTACCTCTAACCACCATCTAATCTCAATAACCAATTACCTTGTATTCTACAATCAATCTCATTCTTGCTTTATTCAAGTTATTACACTGTTTATTATCTTTAGTACAATGAACATATAAACAAAACTTTATATTACTGTTAGTTTGAAGATTTATTTTTATTTCTAATTGTGATTTCTTCTCCTATTTTTATAAGCTTAACAATAAACTACTTTTGAATTACTTCTTTTTTTCTTCTTCACATACTATTTATTGTCAGCTATACATACATCATAAAGTGTTCTCCCTTGTTTTCCTTCGGTGTTCTACATTTAAGTCATTGTGTTTCGTCTCTATGCATATACGCATTTATATCCATCTTGTCTGTATTACTTTCCTTTGTATTATTTTATTGTTAATTAAGCTAAAAAATAAATTGACTATATTTCTCATGAATGAGATATGTTTTTATTTCTTCTCTTTTTTTCACATTATTTTAATGGTCATATACAGTTAAATGGTTGAGCTTCTGAACACTATAACGATATATGCGAACTGTTAATACATATTATTTTTCTACTACAAGTCATTTCACAAAACTTAATTTCGTTATCCATAGTTATATATCACAACCATGAAATGTATATGTTACTCTTTACAATAATACTAAAATCTCCACAAAATCCCTTCTGATAATAATCATCTTGTGCTCACTAGGGACTGGCTTCATGAGGTATTTCCTGGAATTCTATTGAGGGGCAGTAACCAGTCGAGTTCAGACGGGTCTGTTGTAAGATAGTAACTCACTGAAGACGATGGTGGACGGTGGCTCAATTTCGTGGATTGGTTGGAGTTAGACATTAACACGGTTGGATGCGGGTCAGCTCAGTGGTCTGGAGGTTATGCGTTTGTGCGCAAGACTGAAAGGTCCTGGATTCGAATCTCGTGAGGCGAGATCTTAGATGTGTAGTACTGAGAAGTTCCACACTAGGACGAAACGGCCGTCCAGTGCCTCCAGGTTTTCCATGATGGTCAAGCATCAATTGACTCATGAATCCAACTATAAGAATACTAAGATTGATTATATGTGGAGATTTTCTGACAGTAATTCACACTACTACCATTTAGTAGTAGTGTTAATAATCGATTAATTTGAGGATTGAATAACTATGAAACTAATACAAGTTTGTACACGCATTGAGCCAAAGTGTTTGTATATTTTTCATCGCTATACAAGTTATTATTTTTATTTAATACCGAAGATAATCGTGGATAAGAAGCTTAATAATTACATTCTTTGAATATCCATTTTTTTTTCTAGATTTGAACGCTTATGTATATTCATTGTTAATAAAATACACCTTCTTCATGCTTCTAAAAAGTATTTACTTTAGATCTAATAATTTGTAACATAAAACTAGATAAATAACTAATGATTTTATGGTATATTTGTCAAATCAACGATTATCTGTAGCTGAGGGAATAGACGTGTTGATGAAAAGTGTCCTACTCTACGTTTTCAAAATTTTGGACCTGCTTGGCAACTCATTGTGTTTAGTCATTGTTGTCAAGGATCGGCTGCATCCAGTGGGAGCACTAAGTTAGTAACTCTGTGGTTCATCAGTGTGTTCTGACGTAGTAATGATAATTCAATTGATGTTACCATGTTGAAACACGAGCTTATGTAGTTTATACATGTTTACGAATATCGCTCCAATGTCCACTACATAATGCATTAGTTGCTGACCCTAGGACTTTAAATATAATACTTGGTAACATAAAACTAGATAAATAACAAATTTTTGTCAGGTAAGTCTATCATATCTGGATGGTAAAACCGATAAGCTGGTCAGTTTATAGCATGAAACCGGGAAATGCAAGTTAAGTTTATAGGACCAGTAGTTACTAAATATTCACGACCTTCTAGTTTGAGCCCTATGTTAGCTATTTTCTTAAATCAAACGTATCTTTTACTCCATACTGTTATAGTTTCTATGTTCATCGATTATATGATTTTTTCCTCCTATTTATAGTAATATTATTATTTCACTTAATACAAACTACATTCTTTCGGTATCTTATTACATTGTGTTGTCAATAAGAAAAACGAGTAACTTTGTCGTAAATATGTCATTCATCGTTCAACAAAACAATCAAAAAATTGTTTATGCTAAATGTTCTCTTTTTGTTTATTTATTTGAATTCCGGTAGATTTATCCTTATGAAATGTTAAAATTATCATCAAATCAATTGTTGAAAGGGGTGGATCGAACACAGTTAGAGGTAAATTGTTTCTTTAAATTGTAGCCTATACAATATGGATAATGTATTCTTCCTATTTCTTTTTTTATACGTTACATAATAATCGCTCATAGTTACTGTTGATGATATCGAATGAAGTCAAATAACTGTTTATCGAGAAATGATCAGTAATAAAATGTTGAGTATCGTTTATTTATCATGTATCAACATCAGGTCGAATATGAACTAGTAATCCACTAATTTGTATTTGTATATTTGAACTGGAATTCACAGATTGTTATTGATTACAATTGAGTATTTGGATAGTTCTTCATATAAGAAATCTAGTAATATTATTTCATGATAGTTTTTATGTTGAAGATAGTCATCAAAACGTTTAAACAAAACTTCTAATTAGAATCAGTTGTTTTACAATTCATAACCTTCGTAAGACAATCATTTAAAAAACAGGAACAACTAAACCATCGTTTCGTGTTCTAGTATGGAATCTGTGAACTGTGTATCAATGACTCCAACGTTAAACAAACTCAAGAATTTTAGATCAATACTACAATTGTATAGTCATTCCTGATTTCCATTAGTTGTCCGACCAAAGTCAATCTGTCATATAAAGTATACAATTTAGCAATTTACACATCCTCTACACTAACAAAATCAGTTATTTTTCTTCAAGTCTAATTATAATAACTACTAGGAAACTGTTTACAAAAGGACGAGTATACTGCGCGGCGATCCGTTCTGCTTTAATTAACGGCAGCAAAACATGGCCATTAAAACTAGAAGACATTCGTAAGCTACTAGTATTTAACCACAGATGCCTTAAAAATATTGCTGGCGTCTGCTGGGATCACGGTGTAGTAATAGTGAGTTTAAACGCAGGGTATTAGGGAATGATGGTAAATCAGTTGATGAGTTTGTTAATCTTCATCGACTGAGATGGTTGGGTCACGTGTTACGTATACCCGAACACCGATTACCACGACGTGCAATGCTAACCGGTGTTGGAGATGGTTGGAATAAAGTTGTGGGTGGCCAAACCAAAACGTGGCATCAGTGTTTGAAGTCACTAACTTCCAGTCTGAGTCATGTTGGGAGATGCAGACTGCTCGGTTGGGGTCCGCGTGACAATCGTGATCAATGGTTGGAGACTCTTGGTGACATGGCTCAGAATCGATTACAATGGAGTCGGTGTATACACTCTCTGTCTTTCTGTAAATTATGAGGTTAAAGTTGCTTTATATCTTTCTTTCTTCCCATACTATATCCTTATAAGCAATCTTTCTTTTATATATTACCACCTCTGAATTAACTACATTTATGAATCCGGTATTCATCTTGTTGTGTTAATGAAGTATGGCAACTTGGACCGATACATATTTGTGCCTGATCCTACGTTGTAGCTGAATGACTGGCTGAGGAAACTGTTTATCCTTAAACATTTTCACTTATTCATAATAAACTTATATTTTACACTTTTTATATAGTGTTATCTATCAACGGATGAATTTGAACGTTTATTCAATATGTGCCCTGAAGCATTTCAACGTTTACCTGAATGGAAAAGGAATGATTTAAAAAAGAAATTAGATTTATTATAATTAATTCATTGAAATATAATTGACAAATGTTCATATTAACAAATAAAAGTCAAATAATGATAAGGATGATAATAATGATAGAATAGATGATTAAAATATATCCCAAGAAGTAATGAAACTAATTTATTGATTTTATTCAATATTTAAGAATGAATAGAATAACAATCCTCCCCCCTTGCCCAAGTTACGTTCTGATTTTATTCCTCATATCATCATCTCTATTCAAATAATGTATGAACAAAACTAAGGATTCATTGTTGAAATATATCAACTTGTCCTTTTCTTTTTTTTCTTTGTTCATTATGTGCACAACACTTTCATGTTAGTCTACTGCACTTTATTATTTTGTATGTATCCATGTGAGGGTTAGTAAGAGTTTGTACGATCACCATCATCATTGTCACCATGATCACGATCAATATATATAACATTGATAGTAACTCAAAAATATTGATTCACTTATTCGACTTTCATTTCGCTTTTTTTTATTGTCAAATTGTATTTTATTTCTTTTTTTCTTTTTTTTCTTTTTTTTTGTAAAATAAAATCTCTTTATTTTTACAAAGAAAAACTGAATACAATTTTTTTTCTTTTTTTCTCTAAAGCAAACCAACTTTGTTTTTTTTTCGTGTTATATTTTGATTTTCTCATTTTACTTCTTAGTTCTAAGTATATTCAAGTTTTATTTTGTGATCCTTGGAAATGATTTATTATTCATAATGGGAACATAATGATTATCATTATGAACACACTGCTAGATATAACTAAGTATGATTATGTCGAGATTTTTGTTGTTGTTTATCATTCATTGAATACAGTCTGTAATTCGGCTTGAGTTACTTTATATAATCGAGTGTTTATATATGTGTACAGTGCATATTATTACTATAATCATTATTATTACTACTACTATTAATGCTGTGCTTCATTTAACCCTGGTTTTCATAGGTATTTACACTTAATTACTCACATCGTATGTGCCTCTCTCTTCCTATATATAACCTGTATTTCGTCCGTTATTAACGAAATGTATCAACGTTAGTTTTATGTTTATTATGATGTTCTTATAAACTTGAACAAGTGAATGAACCTTTTGTTTGTCCTTCCAAAGATAATTGTTTTCTTATTCACCCTGTTCTTATCATCTTTCTTTGTTAGTTTCATATGTTAACAAATTTATATCATATTAAAGTTTGTTCGCTTTTGTACAGCAGTTGTTGTTCAATGTGTTGAGCATACTACTATTTAATACAGATTTTCGATTGAACAAACATAGATCTTTTTTTTTTCTTTTATTTTGAAAACAAGATAATGAATTTCATTTCATCTTCTAGGAACTTTGAAAATAAAAGAAAATGAGTAGTCGAACAGTGATGCAAATGTATTTCATCATGTTATCTCTTTTCTTTTTTCTGGAAAACGATGTAACTCTTCATTGATATGTCAATTACCGAGACTTATTGCTCAATGTCTTTAACGGTATACATATTCTACTTGACAAAAAGGTGTATGCATGTCAAAGAGAACAACATTAACATTTCACTTATGTTTGTAATTTATAACGTTTGATGAATTCATATATGCAAGTGTAATAATATATGTATGTGAGAAATAATTCTAGATTGTGTTGTCTTTATTATGTGTTAACATTGGCTATCAGTTGTTCACAAAGTCTTTCTCTGATATCATTCTTTCTTGCTCTGACTATTTCTCTTGCCTCTTAATTATAAATAAGCTATTTATTTGTGTGTACACATTGCGCACAAAAATATCTCGACTATTCGATTGTATGTGAAAAAGAAACATCTTTCAAGCATATACATATATATATATATATCTTGAACCAGAAAAGATAATTCCTATACAGTGAAGATAATTCTCAGTTTTTTGTCTTATTAATTCAACTAAGAATTTGTTCATCTATGTTGGTTTGCTTTATTTAAACCTTTTTAGAATTTCTTTAATAGTCTTTCTTATTTCGTTGTCATTGACGCCTTTTCTTGTTTTTTTTTTTCTGTCCGTTTCGATGCTGACTACTTACTTATTCATTTTGTATCTCTTAAAGCTTAAGAAAAGATCAGCTTTCTTTAATGTATGCAAATATTCATTCACACGTATACAATTGCACATTTAGCAAAACTAATGGGTGGATTCACGTTGATCTGATTTGTGTGTTTCTTTTTCCCCCAATCAGTTAGAAGATTGTGCTAAACATACTGTGTTAATGATGTTGATGCATTTTCTTTTCGTTGGTTCTTGTTTTGTCTTTCTTTTCTTTCGGCTGAATTTGTTTGCTAATCTCAATTTTGTCTGTTATTGTTGTTGTCTATTTTGATTGTCAAATTATATGAATACTGAAGAAGAAAAAAAAGAAAAGAAAATAGAGAAATATAATTATCAAAAAAATAGTCAGAGAATAATGAAAAAAAGTGTTTTTTCTCTTTTTTCTATCCGAAAAAATCTAAATCGAATGGCAAGAAATAGTTTTTGATTTCTTTATCATTTGCATTCATCACAATTGAAATGTTACTGCAAAAATTTTTAACTCATTCATCATTCATAGACATTAACTTTGAAGTAAGATAATGATTGAAGGTTCACACGATTTTGTTGAAACACGAATAGATCATACTAAATATTAGTAAAAAGAAATATTTGAGATTTCAGGAAAGAATCAATGTTTTTTTTAACACAAGTAATCGTTATACCGATGATATTGTCAATTCTGGAAGTAAATAGAAACTAATTTCTATTTGATATGATATTCGATGAAGCTGTAATCACTTGATAATCTTTACTTGAATCTTCCCATTGTACATCCAGATGACGAGTCCCAAATAGGAAGAAACGTACGTACTGGATTCCGTCGCTAGTCACAATCCGTCCTTGCTTAATTGTGAATATATATATTCTTAGAGACAAGTTTCAATTTTTCATGTAATATAGAAATAGTTTTAATGGTGATTTCTATTAAATTTATAAAATCAATTACAACTAGTCGTTTAGTATCGATTGGGATTACTGGGAATTGGGAAGTTGTGCAAACATAATTAGATTATTATCAATATGGGGATTTGTGGAGATTGTAGTATTTTCACAGTTGAATTCGGTGACCAGCTTCAAGATGGAACTCGTAGAGTTCTAATATGAAGTCATGACTAGTGAAGTTAAATCCGTGTGGGGTGTTGGACAGTTATTCACCTCATACAATGGATAAAGGATTGCGCAAGATCATTGATTGATCGAAGTTGGACATTAACTTAACACTGTTCGATGCCGGCACACTAGTCTAGACGTTAGGCGTTCGCTCGCAATACCGAAGGTATTCATATCATTAGACAAAGCTTTAGAGTTGTATATATGAAATTCGTATAATCATAATACATAATAAACGTTTCAATAACAAAATTGAATATATCATGAGAGAGAATTTATTAATTTGAAAATATATTACTAATGATTGACAAGCAATAAGCTTGTTTTGTTTCTAATCATGATATTCTAACATTGTTTTCCAGAACAGGAAATGCTGAATAATTTTAAGTTGTCTGGTTATGTATTTTAATTTATATAGAAAAATCATTCATGTGTAAATACAATGAATGTAACTGACTATATATCTAAAACAAATGATTGTTTTAAACCATATTTGTCTCATTAATGAACGATGAATCTTAATACATCAAAAGACAGATTCCATTTAAGAAAGAACAAGAAAACACTATCACCTCAGTCTTGGAATTGCCAGAAAACTAAGTCGACGTTCCGACACCCCATCTGAATTTGTCATTCAGCATGTTGATCTTAATCAAAACTGTAGTCATCGGAGCAAATAGACTATTTATAACAACCTATTCATAAGCTCCTTCAGTTGGTAACCTAAGTCCGAAGCGAGGCAACAAGCTCAAGTTAGTAACTCAACAACGGGTTTTTTTCAGTGGGTTGATTTTCTCATTTATGGGGTTTTTGAAACTACTTTTTAATCATCTCTCAAATTTGGCAAACAGGTTACAAAAAAGCTACTTATACTTTACTCCGGTATTCTGAATAAAAAACATAAATATAAAGCATTGTAATGAAAATACAGACAGCCAAGACAATAATGTTATTCCTAAAGATTCCTTATAAATGTAACACAAAACCAGAAGCGTTTTATGACTATTCGAAACAGTGAATGTTTGTCTTCCGTGCTCCACACAAACATAAAGGACTACATGAAATAAACATACGTTGCCTAGCTTCATTGCCTCTGTATAGGTAATCATCTGTTGAACTGTTCTTCTAGGATTAGGCTATAAAAATACTACTAGGTAAGTTCATCTGTGCACTTCACAACATCACCTTCCATAGTTTGGAAGAAACAGCCGAACGATACAATGTTCGATACTTCCACACTTATTTGATACATAAATTTTCTAGGTTGCTTCTTTAGGATAATTGCTAGCCTGCCCTTCCTTAATCCTTATCTGAGAAAATGACATCTCAATCGAAATTCTGATATATTCTCGAGTTCGTGTATGGTAGTCTGCCTGAATAATTACTTAACACGTCCAATAAAAAACCTAGACTAACACGAGTAAACTCTCATCAGTATCTTAAAATTATTAAATTACAACCGATATTGTAGACTGTGCCTATACATCTTGTAGTGCACCCGTTATTCACCTAGAATACACACCTAATTGAATTGTGTTTTAAAAAACCAAACACAAGCATCTAACAGTCTATTGCTTAATTGTAGTACTATCGGTTATCTTGAGGCGAGGTTATTTACCGATTTTTCAATGTTTAATGTATATGTAATGTCAGGCATCTTCCCTTTCACATAGTGGATGAATCGTGAATATAAGAGGATGATATATTCTGAGGATTTTTATTTCACGTTCTCGCTTCCACCTTATTTGCTTATTATTCAGGATGCTACCCTATAGTGACACGTTCATAACAGACAATGGTGAATAACCTGAGATGTTTGAAATGAAATCCGCAGTAAAAAGTAT